TACTGTAAAACAGGCAGTGATAAATGGCAGTGCGCTGACCGCAGTCTTCCCTGACCCAGATTCGACCTGCTCCCGACACGTGCCGGGCCTGCACGTGTGTTTAAAAATAGCAGAAGGTCCTACTTTAGTCCTTGAGTGACGGAAGAGAAGTACTGAGTCTGTTTTGTCCCATAAATCTGGCCGAGAAGTCTTAAAAGCAAGTGATATAAAGCAACGAACGAATACAACTAAATGGGGTATCAAATTTAACAAAAGTTGAGGAACACCAAATGCACATTTACAAATTTCACATCCATTACGATCATGAAGTACAAAGTAGGAGAAACAGATAATAGGTAATTTCTTTGAGAAGTCAAACAAATCAGGAGTTAGTGGTTGCCATGTCTATTATGTCTTTTCAGAAATTTTTAATAGGTGGGTACGTGCATGACTGGTTTAAAGTGCCCCGTGCAGAGGAACCTCTAAACATTGTTGTGAATTCTTGTATCAGTTTTAGGCTAGAAGTTTGTCATGATTCGCCTTAACTGCCTGGTACTGACTGCACTCTACACGTAGAGTTCAGGCTTCGGCGTATTTATCGGTCTTTCATTATTGCAATGATATTTCTTCGCCAGCTAAAAGTATTCGCATTGGCTACTTTCCTGCTAACGATACAGTCTTGCTATTCGAAAGATCAATCAAAAGATTTACTGGACGATTCCACTGACTGAGGCTACCTGAGTAGAACCTGGTGTCCTTGTGACCGCCCTGTGACCTGGTACTTTTTATTTGCCGGCAAACGTATTGGACGCTGTCCTGATATCTTGCCAGTTTCACTGCCAGGCAGTCACCGAAAGATCTAGCTGCGGGAAACTTCCACTGACTGAGGCTTCCTGAGTAGAACCTGGTGTCCGACTTATGGCTTATTTTGACGTGTTTTTAGCTTTCTTTTTTTTGTACTGGTATCCTTTATCCTTATCTATTATTAATTAATGATACTGTCCTGCCAATTTACCACTGCCAGGCAGTCACCAAAAGATCTGCGGGAAAATTCCAATATCTGAGGCTCTCTGAGTAGAACCTGGTGTCCTTGTGACCGCCCCGTGACCCGCCGTCGTGTCGCGGCCCCCCGCTGGGAGTGATTGATGCCACCGGAATCAAACATGACCAGGAACAACTTTTAGTGGGCAGATTACGACTTCTCTAGCAGCAGGTGGTATAGGCTGTCTAAGACAAGAAGAAACTTTAAGTCAATAGAATAATAGCAAGACTTTATACTATATTACTAGTAACGACTCTAAACTGCTGAAGAGGCGGTTTAGCTCTTTCATCTAACACTGCACCGTCTGGCCATCAGCCATTAAAAGTGTTTTATAGTCTTCAGACATAAAAAGAAGGAAACGAATGATCACTCTATTAGCAGTCATAAACTTTTTATAGACCTTACAGGAAACAGTTTTTGTGTAACTTCAGGTGATCTTTGATGATTGTCTGGAGATTTGGACTCAAGTTTCAAGACACAATCGGCAAGTATCGGCAGGGGAGTTAATCTGTCATCATTAAGTCCCGATGGCGAATGGATAAACAGAAGGTTCTACCCTTTGGCTTGAGTGTGAGTCTTTTAGCGGCATCTGAAGAATGGAATAGTATCAACCCACAGGAGTTGCTACGTGCAGGTTTGAACGTATTCATTGTGTTTCCCGAGGCCAAAAGTGGACACCGTGGCGAATATGCACGTAGGCTTTTGACAGGTCAGATGATCCATTAGTATTAATCCTTAGTCGAGGTTATAGTGTCATTTAGCACCCCTAGGCTTCTTAGTCAGATCTGTTATCGGGGGTGTCACTATTGTTCTGGTCTGTAGAGGCTGGTGGTACAGTTTGTATTTTTATTGAGATCTGGAGAAGACAGAGGGAAATTGTATTGTTACCGGATATAGCTTCTTAACAATCCAGTTATTATAAACCTTCGTCTAGATTCAATCTACCTTTTTGTACGAGAGCACCACACGAATTGTTCCGCTGAGACGTTTTCCCTGACACTTCCTCCCAAGGCGTGTTCCCCCCGGGGATGGCCTCGGTACAGCAGGTTGTCTCCAGTGACAATATCACACAAAGCTTCAAACCGCGCTGCGAACAGGACGTCAGAATCATGGGCTCCCTTCGGACACCCCTCGCCCCTCAGCCGCCGGTGCTAACAGCGAACCTACCACGGCAACAGGCCAGAGCCGGCACCTTCACGCGGCGCACTTCGACTCCATGCACATGATTCTGGCCAAATGGTGAGTTCGCTTGAACATATATGTTTACATTAGGGAACTTTTCCGGAATTTTTGGTACAATTTGGCGATTTTATTCATTCCATAACTTCCTCCTAAATACACATGATTCTGGCGACATGGTGAGTTCGCTTGTATATTTAGTTATATAAGTAGTACATACGTACATTGAAAAACGTTTTGGGCAATTTTTGTACAATTTGGCCATTTTTTATTCAATAACTTCCTTCTAAGCTAGATGCTTAATATGCATTAAGAACTTGTGTGGCTTTATAATCATTACATGTATAGGTATATGTATGTGTCTACATATATTTGAAAAAGTGTATATTCAAAAACGTTTTAGGCATTTTTTTGTACAATTTGGTGTTTTTTTAATTCAATAACTTCCTCCTAAGCTATATTGTCAGTCTATTATGAATTAAGAGCTCGTATGGGGTTTTCATCACACATGAGATATGCATGTATATGTAACGTTATATGTGTACACACAATAAAATACAGTATATACACAGTATACATACAGCAAAATATTTTCGTACATACAACAAAATAGTTATGTTAATCCTCATCATTAACACATACATTTCTAAAGCGTACATTTACCGTGCCTAATTATAAAGCTAGCCTGCTGCAAAGAATTCCATCCTACATTCTGTTCGTCTTTTCAATTGCTTTCTATATTTATTAGGTTTTGCCGCTAGAATTATTAACTGTAATAAAGGAGGGCACTTTTTTTATATAAACGAATTATTGTTGGGGAAACGAGAGAAAGTGCGAATTATCATTGAACAAAGCCGCTTTGTGTTTAAATCCAGTTACCTTAAAAAGGCACTCAGTGTCCACAGAAAATGGGTTTGGTTCTAACAATAGATGAAGATGCCGCCTCACAACGTCTTATCTCTGTATCCGCCTTTTAATATCTCTGTCTTTCCCAGGAGACGTAATTTTGATCTCAGTAACGAAATAGAAATGCTGAGAAAGTTGCAATTGTCTTTCTGTTGCGGGGCAAAATGGTGTTTTCAACGACTTTAAAAGAGTGTAGATAAGTCCTTTCACTGAATGTGATTCTCGCACCTGGAATTCGTTTGATCTCTACATGCGCTGGACAAGTTTCAAAAACTGAGAGTAGCCTCCACCAGGTTTTCCCAAGGGGTTATAGATAGTAGAATTGGCGGCAAAAATAGGACCAGTAATTGGTCAGGAAAGTGAGCCGTGGTATCTAAAGGTGCTCATAACATAATTGAACTCTATGGTTCCTAAATTCCTTTGGCCAATTATTCTCCCCGTTTAGCTAAAGTTGACTATTTTCCAGTTAGCGTTGTTAGTCTGATGAGGACCATCACAGTATTTCATTTCATTTAAATCTCAACAAAAACTCTATATTGTCATACACCTGTGTTAAATATTGTCATACACCTGTGTTACAAAAACACACACAGGTCCCCGTAACTCTATATCTACATGGGGACACATTTGCTCTCGAGTTACTGGTGCCATCCTTTGTAGTTTCCGCCCGCTCCCGTGCCCAGCGACAGGGAGTGGGCAGAAACTACGAAGGATGGCACCCAGGCTATTAAGCAGTACCTTATAAGGCTTCCCCTCGTGTATCCTGGCGATGTGTTTTTTGAGGTTGGTTGTGCTGACAAACTGGTCACTGCAGCCGGCCCACGTGCAACTGGGGATGGACACAAAAACAAAAGTACATGTACATGTACTATAATAATTGTAAATTTGTAATTGACCTCCAGCTCTGACCATCAAAATTTCTTCAAATGTTGCTGTTGCTTTGTATGCACAGTTTAAGTCTTGTCTGCGTGTTATGTTGAGTGTTTGTTATGTTACATATGTGTGTACACTGTGTTTCTAATGAATCCAGGAAGCGTAGATTGGATTTTCAGTCGAAAATTCCGGTGAGTCAAATTTATGAGTTGGAGAACAGTTTAAATTTTTCATAATGTAGATTGGATTTGTATGTCAATTTAATGGATTTCAAATAAAACATTAGTAGTAGTAACTGACATGCATGTCAACAGAATGTACTGCACCTGAGTGAAATCAATGATGTGTTGTGACTTACAGTATGTAAGGTATGCTCGCGACGCGTCGATCTATTCAAGGACCTCCTTTGCCTACTGAAAAGTATAAACAGTAACAAGATAGGACTGGATAGTCTATGTCGTCAGACTAATTAAGTTGTACGAAAAAGAACTGCAGGATTGTAAAGTCTAAAATTCAGAGCCAAACATCGTAATGGAGTAGAATCGTCAGTATCACGCATTGATATCTGCACATCAAACTCAACCGCAGCTTTGATCGAGGTTAGTTAAAATTGCTTTCAAGAAATCAAAGGCCTTCTACACAACGGTTGGCATTAAATGAGATTTTTGTCGAGTTTTTCTTCTTCCTTCCGTAACAACAATGCGGTCTGTACACGCGGCTGTAGTGATTCGTATATGTGCTAATATCCGGTATCATTGAATTTCGTACAGAAAAGACCAATATTAAAGTTTTCATTATCACTTTTTGCTTCCCATAGAAACTAGAAATAAGAGGCCCGATAATACTAAGAGGAGCTTATCATACAAATCCGCCCGAAACTTTGATATCTACGTGGGTTTCTCTATAGGTTGAATTACACCATACTTAACGACCGGGCCTGACAACATTAAACAAAGACACTGCTGGATTAGCCTCTACCAGGCACCGCGGATCGCTGGAAAAATAGTAGAAGTTGGCCGAAATGGATGGTATACCAGAGAAGATAGATCCAAGCGACCTTCTATGGCCCGGGATCTTCTCTGGTATACTATATCCCAATTTCGGCCAAGTTCTACGCGGTGCCTGGTAGAGGCTACTGCTGGATTACTGTGCCCGTATCTTGCTAAGGTGGGCCATTGTTAACAGGTAACTTTCCGTGTTGTCTGGTTTTGTGCGACAAAAGCTAGCCCCAGCTGTTCTGAAAAGGGATCGAGATTTCAACCGTCAGGTGACAAGAATGAAAAGATGAAACGCGAGAGGTGACGTCAACAATAATTTTCGGATAAATCAGTAGGGACAGTGCCGTATTGAGTACATAATCCGTCTGGCGAAGAAAAAGGACAGAGCCCAATTACAGCTTGGCCTACCAGCTTGTATAAAAAAGTGTTTTCTTACTTACAATCTACTCGGTAGTTGTTACGGAAGGAAGAAGAAAAACTCGACAAAAATCTCATTTAATGCCAACCGTTGTGTAGAAGGCCTTTGATTTCTTGAAAGCAATTTTAACTAACCTCGATCACTCGTGCAAATACAAAGCAACAGCAACATTTGAAGAAATTTTGATGGTCAGAGCTGGAGGTCAATTACAAATTTACAATTATTATAGTACATGTACATGTACTTTTGTTTTTGTGTCCATCCCCAGTTGCACGTGGGCCGGCTGCAGTGACCAGTTTGTCAGCACAACCAACCTCCCATCGCCAGGATCCACGGGAGCGGGCGGAAACTACAAAGGATGGCACCCAGGCTAGTACTGCTTACCGTAAATCACGAAACTGTTGCAGTGTTTTCAGTTTTGTGGCTTTTGGTCCACCTCACTGCAACTACGTTTTCCTTTTATGACTACTGACTAGTACTGTACTACAGAACTGAATACAGCACACCTGTGTCTAAAATTGCATTACCACAAGAGATGCACATAAGGCCAAAGTTGGTTCTCGGAGAAGCGACAGGGGAAAAAAATGAAAATAAAAACAGGTCTAGCTATAGGCATCCTATTATAGGCTTAGTCAACACAAAAGGCTGGGTTAAAATTTAAACATTGAATTTTGAACTTTTAATCAAACCACTGCAATGATAGATGCAAGAATCAGAAAAAATGAAGAGGCGAATCCGAGAACCAACAAATTAAATTGGTGTGGCCTAAAGTTCACATTACCGGTACATGAAGCCTATCTCCAGCATTGTTACAAAAAGGGAATCCATAACTGATACCACAAGAAGTCTGGTTGGTCTATTGATTGATTGATGAACTGATTGACTGACTGATTGATTTTTGTGTTTCCACAGTGCACCTATGGTGAATGTACCAAGGGTTTCCAGAAACATCGTCAGCTCAGGATCCATGAGTATGAACACACAGGCGTATTACCCTTCCCGTAAGTTTGCTCTCTGCCATACAAGAGGGTTTGATCCCGAGTAGTACCCGGGACATGTCTGGACATGCGCCCCGACATTGTGCCCTTGGGAAAGGCACTTGACACGACTTTCCTCACTCTGGCCAAGTGTGAATGGGTACCTAACTTCGGTTAAGGAAAGTCTTATTGAGATCACCTGGTGGCGCCAAATGGCAGCCGCACAGACCCTTGCAATAGTTCCACAAAAAGTGTGTGGACCTAATATGTTATATGTATCATGTGTATCATCTGATTGTAAACCCTGCATCAGTTCAACACTTAAAGGCTGCGATTGCACAGGTGTTAGGAACATGCCTACATGCAAATTGGGGAGAGGACTAAAGAGACTTGGCAACTAAAATGGGTTTGGTAAAAAGGGCTAGTACTTTATTATAAGTTATAACTTATATGTATGAAGTTTGCATTCTTACCTTCTTTTTTTCTAAATTCCATTTCTGCAGTTGTGAGAAATGTAACAAGAGGTTCCTGCTTCCCAGCAAGTTAAACAGACATTTAAAAGTCCATGAAGGTGAGAGAATTCTTAAAACTTAAACCTTTCATGTTTTTGTAGTTCTGTACTTTGACTATCTCTTTTCTAAATATGGTACACTGTTGTGTCTGAAACCAGAGCAGTGGCCAAGAGGGTAGAGTGTTTGGTAGAGTCATACCAAAGACTCAAATGGCACATACATACAATACTGCTTTCTCTCAGCACACTTAGCACTCAGCAATTGGGAGTTGAACACACACTACTACCAGTGGACAAGCCTCCTGCTGTAGTGGCCTGTGTGTACAGGAGTTGAGATTTGAGAGTATGAGAGTTGAACACACACCACTACCAGTGGACTAGATCAGAGGACACTGGGCTATGCATGCTCTACCAAGTTGTTCCCCTCCATTGTCTTGATTGCTGTATATGGACAGACTTTTGTTGTTTCCTAGGGTACAACTGTCGCCTACAGGACTGCGGCGCCACCTTTGACAAGTGGTCGGTACTGCAGGCACACATGAAGGAGAGGCATCCGCACAACACAAGTAAAATTTGCATAGGTAAGGGGATCAACAACAGTTACTGCAAACGGTCTTACACTAAGGTAAGGGGATCAACAACAGTTACTGCAAACGGTCTTACACTAAGGTAAGGGATCAACTCCTATAAAGGTAAGGCGTAGCTTTCATACATTCTACTCAAATACTCGTGCCTTGCAACCATGAACGTGTGTCTTACTATAATGTAGTAACATGTTGGTGAGGTGTCATAATTTTGTGTCCAGGAATAAAGTAGAAGAAATCGTTTTTACTAAACTTTATTTGCTCGCATCCACAGATGTCTAACCTGAAGACCCACATCCAGAGTTACCATGAGTCCAGACGTCCCTTCAGCTGTACCCAGCAGGACTGTAGTAAGACATTTGCGCATGAGGTAAGCTTCTAACACTAATAACAAGTATGCATCTGTATTTTCTTCTGGATACATAAGTATTCTTTTGGGTGTCTAAGCTTTTTCTCTGTGTGTGTGTCTATGATAACTCTAACAAAGTTGTTCTGTAATTTTGAGTGTTTTGTTTTCTTGATAAATGTCCACCCACTTTTTTATCCTCCTTAGATCTCCTTGAGGAGGCATGTGAAAGCAGTCCATGATGCCAAGACAAGTCTGCCACCTAGGGTAGGTTCAAGTCTCTGGTTAAAGTTTAAACTAAAAATAGTTTAGTTCATTTCACCTCAACTAAGTCTCGTACAGTGGTGTAATGCCTGATTGAATTACATCAAGTGATTCCTTTCACAGTTCCAGTACATTCACAGAACATGAAACGCTTTCCAGGGGTCTGGACAATCCAACATTCACTCAGTCTGAAAACTCCCATTCCTTGTTTCTAAGCTATTTCTATCCATTCTTTTCCCTTCAAAAGCCCAGAAAGGTGGGGAAAAGGAAGAGTAACTTCGCTTCTCGGCTGACTGGATACAAAGAGAAGAAAACACCAGCAGAGAAAAACACACCCAGCGAGGAGGAAGACTCAATAAACCCTGCCTTACTTCTCCCTGAAGAGGAACACACTACATCAGGCACTAGTGCCCCCTGTGGAGACCTGTGTGAAATGCAGGCTGACACTTGTCATGGAGAAGACAGCAGCACAGATTCTGCTACAGACAGGATAGCAGAAAATCGTCAAATACTCACTGAAGACGCTGCGGAAGGAAGTCTTGTCATTGGGACTTTAGAAACAGTAGACAATGTTGAGGAAGGAGACAGGTTAACAGAAAGTCCTCAAAAACCTACCAGGGAAGAAGACATTGCAGGGGATAGTCTTGTCATTGGGACTTTAGAAACAATAGACTATCTTGAGGAGAAAGGCTGTACAGATGTTGGTAGTAGTGAAACTACCAAGGATCCAGCTACAGCTAATACTAGTAGCTGTGGTGAAACTACGGAGGTCAAAAGGTCGGAGGTCAAAGGGTCAGAGGGTAAAGGTGAATCATCAGAGGAGGTCCAACTGAGAGTAATGGCATGACAAGACGGTTCATCAGAAGTCTTTGGAAGTTGTTTTTTTGTTTCGTTTTATAATGTTCAGTTGTACTGAAGGGGTACTTGATAGTTGTGCAATTAGGAAAACCCTCTGTGACTATATCCAAACTTTGAAAGTTTGCAAGGATACTATGTACATGTATCTTTGATAAAGGGTATACCTATGTGGAGACAATTTTTGTTTAATTTATAATTTAATTTATAATGAAATCAGAATGATGCAGAGCCAAACAATTATTACCTGCAAGATATGTATTATTTTTTCTTATCAATCTTCTCAAATTTTTACAACTCTATCAAACCATGGATACTTTGTTACCTTTCTACATTCATCTATCAAATGTTACAATATGTATTGTAAAGTAAAGTGATTATATACAATGTATCATGATTATATACCAGGAAATATTTTACACCTTCCTGTTCCATGTTTACTCAATACTTTTGTATGTTGTACAACTGATTGGTTGATATTAAACCGTTCCGTCAGGGGCAACAAATCTGATTATTAGTTGGAACTATTCTTTTGTTTTGTATGTATGTTTGTCCAGAGTAGGTTGACAGCACGTGGGTGGGGGAAGATTGACAGGCAGTACGAAAGGAGCCAACAGGAATTCAGCATACATCTACACATTTATTGTTTTTATTCATATACATAATGTAGATGTTAATGTATGATCGTCTTTATTGACATATTCCAAGAAACTATTTTATTCTGTAGAGCAGCATAAAAAATTCAAGCAGATACAAGATTGTTCACATAGCCAGTAGGTCCCTTAGGTTTAGAATATGTACTACTAGGCAAGGGATAGATTATATGCAGTTTTTAAGACCAGCGATGACAGTGGTTTTTGTTCTCCGGGCTATACCAATTTAATTCCTTGGTTAAATGCAATCGTTCAAGTCAATTTGCAAGTGGCCCATTGGATGCTGTCTGACCAATAAAAGTCCACCAAAAACTTTTCACGATTTACAGCTAGTAGTAGTACAATAAATTCTCGAGTCATAATTTCTTGTGTCCATTTGTGGTACCTCAGACAAAAACAATGTGTCTGAAAAAGGTCCCTGGTGTTTATTTCTTCTTGCCCATACTGGCGTCCTTGTCTGACGCTGGCCTGATCACACAGTTGACTGCAGTTCCCTTCAGTATAGGAGGAGTCTGGTACACGGCTTTGTTAGTCAGCGACTTCAGAATGTTGTCTGCTAGCTTCACCTAAGAGGCACATTCAAGTGTTTACCATTGAGAAAACAACATAAAAGAACAAGTTAAGTTCAAAATTTGTTCCCACACCTGTACATGCTACATAATAATTTCATGAACACACAATGTTTCACATGATCTACTCTAGCCCAACAAAATACTACTATTTATTCTTACCCAAGCATATTCATATATAAGGTGACCAGCCCCTCCAACTCAGTCCTGTCACTTGCTACATAATGTAACCCAACACAATTATAGCTATCACACATTCAGTGACCATGCTGACTGCCCTCTGGTTCAGGTCATTGACCTTATTTGTTTGGAGAAGTAGTAACAGAATGATTTCTTCATTATTAAGTGTTATTAGCTGGTGTGTTACGCCGAAAGGCGGTTATACCGGCTATACAGATACAGATTAAGGTAAACATAATTACCATATCGTCTGTTGTTTTCTTACTATTCCTGGGATTACTGATGGAAATCTTGACGACAGACTTTTTCTCAATGAAACTGTCGATCTTGTGAACCTTGTGTGAGAGGTCGTGTTTCGTGATGTCCGCGGAGAATTTCATGGTGTGCACAGCCCCCACTCCTTTATTTGCCTTCTTCTCTTCCCTCAGTTTTGCTCTCTCGTCCAGTAGTTGTTGTGGAGTCATGAGTTGGTAGGCTGGATAAGGTTTCGCCTCTGCGTCGATTAGAACTAACCTAATGCCACTGTTTTCAGGATCATTTGTCAGTTTCAGAGCATGGACGCTGTGCACAGCGCCCATGCTCTTTCCCTCCTGGTCAAAAAGGTGGATGGTTCCAGGCCTGATCCTTTGCCCAACAGCATCTAAAGTCTTGATCTTCACATTTGAAGGAAGTTTGACTTCTGAATGAGGTCTGGTAGAGCTATGATCGCTGTCATTGGTCGATGTGGATGTGGAAAAACTATGGCAACCAATGGGAAAAGTCTTGCTAACGCTGTTATTGGTCGATATGAATGAGGAAAACCTATAACAGCCAATGGGAAAGGTTTTGCCAATGCTGCCATTGGTCGATGCAGATGAGGACAAACTACGACAGCCAATGGCAGAGGTTTCGAGACAATCATATTTCAAAGTTGTGACGTTTCTTCTTCGCCACCAGAACATGTTGGTTGCTTGCAGAAGTGTTGTTTCATTATAATAATTAGATTTAGATGGTAAGAGTCTTGGGCAAGAAGAAGAGGTGCTGAAAAACTGAACTGGCTTCAAAGTCCACGGAAGACTTCTGTGTTGAACTTGGAAGGTTCTAGTGCAGATGAATGCCATCAGCTTGTGTCTGAAACAAATATTAGGGCACATTGACATAAATTTGCAAAAACAGCATAGCGTAGCTGTACCTGAAACAGTTATCTGATGTTTCTCATTGGTGATAATTGTCTTAGAGGACGTAAAATAAGTCAAAATCGGACAGAATGAACTTGAAGTGTGATTTACCTGCACATGGGCGCCGCCATCTTGGTTTCGGAGTGATCGGCAATCCTCGGAACAGTTCGGGGAATTTCCGAAGATTGCCGAGGCGAACCCGACCGTCTGCAGCGTGCCAAAATGGCGGACGTAGAAGAAGAAGAACAGTGGCTATACGGAGGTTTGTAACGGCGTTTTCTAAGCGATTGATGTCTTAAATTCTGTTTTGAAGAAGTACCGAATAATCCTTAGAAATTGAAGTTTCGTAGAGATCAACTTTGTGGTCATAGAGGTCTGAACTGTGTCGCTTTTTGAGGTAGAAATTTCGTAGATTTTTGCACGTGAGAACCGGCTTTGCTTTTTGTTTTGTCAAGAAACCAGAAGAAATTGGTACATGTACGTACTCCACTAAAATCACGTCGAGCTTTTGTCGCTTTGTAGATTTCTCAGTAATGTGTATTGAAAATCTTTTGTTGATGGAAACGTACATGACTAAGTATTAAACTATACGTAGATGTAGTGAAGCTATCTTCAGAATCATAACTCAACGCCCCCCTCCCCCTACAATTTGTAGAAAGAAAAGAAACATGATATATTTTGCTAGCTTTGTCTGGATAGTGGTATAAACCATAATAATTTTTCTGTTCAGATGAGGAGGCAGAAGAGACTAAGGCAGAGGAACCTCCACCTTTGGAGTAAGTATCTAATAATTATACTGCACAATGTAATGATTTACCGTATCAAGAGAACGATAAGTTAACTACTACAGAATCTAGATATCCCTCTTGACATAATCAGTTTCTCTTAAAAACAGTGAAAGAGCACATTTTAATTATGTTGATTCTTCCACCCCTCAAACAGGTCTGCACCAGAAGAAAAGGAAGCAGTGTAAGTACAAATTCATAATATGTCAAACTCAATAATATGACAGTCATTAAAACTAACATAAGAAATTATTTATTGATTCAAATAAGGCACTATCATCCTGTGAAGTACTAGTATATTTAGTTTGATTCAAAATGAATAATTCTACAGTGCAAAAACTCACTGTACTGTTAACACTATTATACAACACAGGAATGGAGAGGAGCCTGCGCCTGCCGTTACCAGTAACCTGTCTGCTGATGCTCCTGAGTTTGTCACCAAGAAGGCAGCTGAAGGTGGGGAGGACAAGGAGGCTGGGGAGTTGGTATGTTTGTTTATTTGTTTTGCAAGACGTAAATCACCTTTAGGTGTGACACACCAGTTCTGATCAGTTACAAGCTGTGTAAGACCAAAAATTAAGGTTTGATTCACTCAAACCAGGAAAGACCCCTTACTCCACTAAGCGTGGCTGGGTCTTTAATGTGATTTAGAGGACAACACTAACTAAAGCTGGGTACATGTACTCATTTTCACCTGGCCATGTGGGGAAATAGGTGCTAAGGGACAACACTGGGGCCTGCCAGGGATTTGAACCCATAACCTTCAGATTTCGAGTCAACAAGACTTACCATCTTAAGCTTGTTATGCCTTTGTTTGTTTTTTTCCGGAGAGTATTGAGGAATAGTTGAATGTAGGAATGAGTTCCAGTCCCAAACTGTTCTTGGGAAATATGAGTTTTTTTTTCAATCATGATATTTTCTTTACCAGAGTGGAGAAGAGAACCAGGAGGAGGATGGTGATGATGATGACAGTGACAGTGACGATGACGTTCAGGTCACCATCGGGGACATCAAGAGTGCCCCGCCCTCATATCCGTGAGTTGTCTATTCTTCTCTTTAGTCTCCACCAGACTAACAACATGGGTTGAATAAAAAAGCAAAATTTAGCCAATAGGGAGACTAATCAACTAGGCCTAGGAAAAAAATGTTTTGTTTCCTCTTTCAGTCCTGAAAAAATTAGGGTCCGTAGTTAGGGATTATCTTTATTTTCTTCAGTGATATCTATATAGGGGTCCAACTTATTAATACAATACAGTTTTGCAAAGTATAACTTGCATGAGGACACTTTTATTTTCAATGTCAATGTTAGGAAACCAATTGTACATTTTATCACTCAGATGTCAGATCATGGAGCGAAAAGGTTGATCAGCTCGAAAAATTTATGTCCCTTGCAGGGGTTCACACAAAAAAGCTAGGGTTGTCAGTTTTTTCTAGGGTCGGTTGGGAAACAAGAAACTTAACATTTTTTCCCTAGGCTTAATCATGGTTTAAAACATACTTGAACTTCTGAAATCCTTCTCCAGTGGCTATGGAGTATGAACCTGGACATCAAAAGACAGCTGCCTACAGCAGAGGTGGACCAGGTACATTCTAGCTATATGCATTTTTATGTGCTTTAAGATATATATTACATATACATAGAGACTTATCAAGCATAGTATGTCAAAATGGACTGAAAGTCATGGTGATGTTAGCCTGGGTGCCATCCGATTTGTAATGGCTCGAAAATTGATTTTTTTAAGTAGCCGTTACAAATCGGATGGCACCCAGGCTAGGTGATGTATCATACAATTGAAAAGTATTGCCTTGATTCTGTAATCGTTTTGCTTCAACATTATAGTTTTGAAGTCTTATATCTTGAAGTTGTGCTGTTTTTTTTCCAGCTCCCGGCAGTGCAGGGAAGACAGTGAAGGGCATTGACCTCGCTGCCCCGGGGGCCATCAACGGTGTGCCTGTCATCGACTTTGACCTGGACACACTCGAGGACAAACCGTGGAGGAAGCCTGGTGAGTTTTCCTTCTTTTTACATCCAGTACAGAAGTATTGTTTTGGGTGGCACAGGTATACAGGGGTTAGTATGTATCCTTGACTCCTTAAAAGTGATGAAAAACCCCAAAAAGGTTTCTGAAAGTATGACATCTCCAATTTGTAACTGGCACTTACAAGAAAACTGTTACTCAAGCAACTGGATTGAATGATGTTTGAAGTTAGCATCCACATCAGTGACTGAAAAGTACTGGAAGCTACTTGAAACGTCTGACAGTTTAAAATCTATACAGGTGCTTGAGTTTTCTTGTATATCTCTTTACCTGGATGTCTGACCTTCATTGACGTAATTATCAACAATTTTTTTATGTGAACAGGTGCTGATATCACTGACTACTTTAACTACGGTTTTAACGAGGACTCTTGGAAGATCTATTGTGACAAGCAGAAGAGATTACGTATGGACACCAACCTGCAGAAACCCATCTATGTGAGTACTTCATACCATGGAAATGTACTGCAGCTGGAAGTACATTGTATTGTTTTGGGTGGCTGAGCTGTGGGTTTGTGTGTCTATTTGTTGCTAATGCTACCGGTAATGGTGATCCAAGCTTTCCAAGTCGTCATCAAATGATGTCCACACTCAAACAATTGCTAATACAGTTTGTTAGTACAAACATCTCTATGTGAGTAATTCATACCATGAAAATTTACTGCAGTTGGAAAATGGAAGTATTGTTTTGGGTGGCTGAGCCATGGGTTTGTTTGTCTGGACAGAGTAGGTGGACAGCACATGCAAGGCAAACGTAACTAAACACTAATTTTGTTCTCTTTAGGTGCATCATGCTGGAAGTACCAACACCAGACAGGAGAAGGAAGAACCAAGTGAGTATGAGACTGAACTGTCAGAATTGAAAATTTTGATGAATGTCCAAAGCTTTTATTATTGTAGGCCTCGTATGGGCTTTTACTGACAACGAAATTTGTATATTTCTTGCCCTCACAGAACATCCAAAGATTTTTGTAGACTTTATGTCTTCTGCTCCAAAATAGTATCCAAAATACATGTACTTTTTGTTTGAGATCATGTTATTCACAAAGCTCCTGTTAGCAGGCCATGTTACAGCAGTACAAGTGCACAGATTCTTTTGATCTGCAAAGGATAAGTCACATTTCTATAAACGGAAATGTTATGACTTCTTCACATTCAGGCCACGCGCCGGTTGGAAACCCAAAGAAGAGTAGGGGTGACCCTGTGTGTTTGACTATAAATGTGAGCTGTAGCAGAACACTGCTTCACTAGCTACTAGAAAATGCATCATGCTTCACCTCAGTTGAGAATGACTGCTTTACCTTCCTTTTTTAACCTTAGGCCATGCGCCAGTTGGAAACCCAATCCAGAGACGAGGCAGCGGGAACTACCGCGCGGGGATCGACGTGATCCGGGGGGATCTCGCGGGTGGAGGGAAGGAGACGGGACAGACCGCCGGACGAAAACGTCATCCCGGTCATGGGCGCACCACCAGAGTAAGGACTTGCCTCCGACATTTTACATGTTTTTGGCAACGTTCTCCTGATTAAGAACTTAAATCTTTGATTTAAACATAAAATATAAAATATAAAGATGGAACTTGGTAACGGTAGTTGGTAGCTCTTGCACTGTGTTGAGATTGAGTAGAAGTTGGAACAGTTCATTTTTCACTGGGGTGCTTTAGAGTTCATTCTTGTGGGGGGTAAAAGTAAGGGGTAATATTGTGAGTAAAGGTAATTTTGGGATGGTCCATTTCTGCATTTTCGAATGGTGAGGTAAATGGAGTGACATATGGACACCAAAATACCTTCTATTACATGCTGGTTATGAAGATGGTTGTTGTCTTAATTTATGTGCTTTCGTTTGCTGCAGGGATGCTGGGAGAGGAATGTCCACACCCAGGTGAGTTGGACTCTTCCATGTCTATAACTAACAGTTTAGTAGCCCTCCATTTGACAAGATTGGTAGCATCCAAATTCTGTTGTGAGAATGTGTATCGAGTCAGCAGAATGTACTGTGCCTCCACAAAACCTGACTTTTCACATTTTTAAAAATGTTTAGTCAATGTTGCATGAGAATTTTGCCCGTTGCAAGCGATATCTTCTCTAACACAACATTTGAAAACCATAGACAGGATGTCATCCTTAAATAGACAAAAACAATACACTCTACGTTTTACCTATGTGCTAGAATGTAATATTACTAATGACCTTGGCTTAAAATACTGGCTCGATATGCTTTATAGAGCTACAGTACTAAGGGCACTTCCTTTTCAAGCATATGAGATTTCAACTAGAGATGTCTGATAGCTATTGTAAGCAGAAAAAACAATATCATAACAGTAGTATGCAATCTAACTTGTCTCTATCTATGTGTGTATTAACAATAACACAAGTCTACTTTCAACTTTTAAAGAAAGTGTTGTTTGTATGTCTAACTCCGTCCCCTGTCCCCCAGCGATCCATGCAGGAGGAGGTTTCCCAGGTATCCCCATCCTCCCCCCGGCATGTCTGGACCTCCCCCAGGCTTCCCTCCTCCAGACACCATGCCGCCGTTTGACTGTGAGTAAACAACAAAGTTTATATCATCTATAAATCTTGGTTTAATCAACGTACTGGAAGAAAACAGCTACAGACATTTCAAACACAAGTTGAAAAAACTCCCTTTAAATTCAAAATATGACAATCAATGACTTTTCTTTCTTTTCACTTATGAAGGTCATTGGATAGTGGTCGAAATGTCTGTAACTGTTTTATTCCAGTGTGTTAATTAAACCTAGATTTGTAAGTATTATCTTCCTGGATGAGTAGCCTCATGAGGAGCCAGATTGCATACTTCTTGGAAGTTTGAAATCTTGGATTCTTGATGATTGTTTACAATAATTAATCGAAGATATTATTTTACTGAAAGCTACCACCAAATAGTGAAATTTTACCTCTTTAGAATGTCAAGTGCATCTTGTGCTGAGAAGTTTTGTAGGATCCTATCATCTTTGCCCTGCTCAAATATGACTACATTTCCCTTGCAGTTTCAATACATTCACAAAACATGTCCTGGAAGTCTCAAATCTCTGATTTTGTGTGTTAGATTGTGATAAATTTGATACCAAGAGTGTTGTGCATTTATGATAAGCTACCATTTTGTAATTTTCTCAAAATTTGTCTTCCCTTCAGAGGTCAACCAAGGGGCTATGAAGACAGACCACCTTACTATAGTGGAGGTAAGGACAGAAAGGTTGACTTTAAAGAGATGGCTCTATTGAAGTCTCCATCTAGTCAAATCTGCCTAAGCAGACCACTCAGAGGACTGATAAAATCTGGTCTATGTGGACAGGTGGTCACTTTTATAGACAGGGTTGTTATTGCAACAGAATAAAGTCCTTATGTAGAGGTGGTCACTTGTACAGGTTTGATTGTAGTTAAAATGGGCATGGAATACACTTGAATATATTGTAATACATACAGTACAATGTAAATCATTGGTTTTATTTTGCAGAAGGAATAGGGAGGTTTTCACTGTGTTCTAAATACATGATTGAAACCATTCTGTAGTGAGTAGTAGTACTGTAGTCATACAAGGGATACATATATGTGGTACGCATCATGAATTTGCAGTGGAGCGGTCACTACAAAAATACATGTGTATAACCACCTCAAAAGTTTCATAATTCACAGTACAGATTTTCAGTTTAACCTGACTACCGTATTGCTCTACCTTCACAGACCACCCAGACTTCCCCCCCTACAACCTGGGTCCACCCCCCTCTGGCCCCCCTCCCAGCTCCTGGGACCCCGGCCGGAGACAGGAGAATGATGACTACGACTACTTCCCTCCTCTGGGCCCACACATGGGCAACAGGGGGTCAGACAGTGACTTCTCCAGGTAAGGCTGTTTCTAACATCTACTGATCATTAAGTGGCATGACAGTTCATCTGAGTTGGTACAAGTCATTATGAAATAAAGTAATAATCCTTCTCTCCAACACGACTTAATTGGGACTTACCCCAAATTCATTCGGTTCAAGGCCAAGGGGTAAGTCCCAATTCATTCCACTGTTGCATGGAAAGCTTAGCCCTTGTTTTATAAATCATTAGGTGGTTACAGTTGTCGACTTCAAATCCAAAGGTTTTGGGTTCGAATCCTTGTCTGTCCCCAGTGTTGTATACTTGGGAAATCTGAAGGTGAGGTCCTTGGTTCAAATAAAAAGTATGTAAATTATCTCTTGTGAAATATCCTCCTCCTTCCAACTTTAGTGCTTAAATGTTAACTTTAATGTTATATTACTGCTGTGAGTTTCTAATAGCCTGGGTTCCATCCTGGTTAGTTTACGTCCTCTCCCACAGTCGCTGCTTGGTGGTAGCGACATAAACTAACTAGGATGGAACCCAGCCTACCCAGGCTAAGTTTCTAACGCCATGGTACCATTCTTGTTTAACAGTGACAGTGAGCATGAGTACAGTATGTAGCAAGGTGGTCTTGTGGCAAGGATTGTTGATAAGTATTTGGAGCCCAGCTTGTTATTAAAAGTTATATTACTGTTGTAAGTTTCTCACTGTGGTACCATATTGTTTAACAGTGACAGTGAGCAGGAGTACCAGAGAAGACAGCACAGCAGGGAGAGAACCCGGGAAAGAGAACCCAGGGAGTACCGGGACAGAGATCGGGAGAGAGAGAGGGATAGAGAGAGGGACAGAGAAAGGTTTGTGGAATCTATATGTGTGTTCAATTTGTACAGCAAACCTGATCAAGAAACCACACAGGGGACTGATAAAATCTTGTCAATATGGACAGGTAGTTACTATAGACAGAATTCTTAATGCTTGTGTCTATGGAAAAAAATTATCTGGGAGACCATCAAAAATTTGTCACATTGGCCAGGTGGTCCTTACCATATATAGAGGTCATCACTTGTAGAGGTTTGACTGTATTTTCTTAGATACTTGTTGGTGGATCATTTCAACCAAAATTTTAAAAGAAGAAATAAATTGATAAGATAGAATCCCTACCTATGAACCATTTATTTTTCAGAACTGAAAACAGGAACACCATTTTTTTTTCCTATGCCATAGTATTATGCTGCTTGTGTGAAACTGACGCCATGTCACGATTATTCTCTTAGGGACAGGCGGCGGGAAGAGCGAGACAGAGGGCGGGAGAGAGAGCGAGACCGGAGCCGTGAGCGTGAACGAGAGCGGAGACACAGGGACAGGGAACGGGAGAGCAGCCGGAGAGAGGAGAAGGAGGCAGATGACAGCAAGGACAGACATCGCTCCTCCAGAAGGTACAGACGGTTTGTTATAGGCTTGCTCTGGGTGAACATTAGACATCGCTCCTCCAGAAGGTACAGATGGTTAACCGGGTTTGGCAGTTTGTTTTAGACTTACTCTGGGTGAATATTAGACATCGCTCTTCTAGAAGGTACAGATGGTTTGGCAGTGTGGTATAGACTTAGGCTCTGGGTGCAGTAGGCTCCAGCTGAAATTTTTTTTCGTCACAGATCTGACCTGGAAGGAGACAGTGCTTGCAATCATGGGTTCAAGCCTGTAAAAATGCAATTTCCCCACATTCTGAGGCAAATCATTGGCAGCTTGACAGGGAAGGTTGACAATACATGTAGTTATAGAGTTCAAGCTCTGTTCCAACACAAGGAGGGAACTCACCATAAATTTCCGGTCGACCTTTGTCAGATGTGTGATCCACTAGCTGACTCTCCTGAAGTTGGAAGCATGACGTTTCTTGTGTTGGAACAAAGCCTGAACTCTACAACTGTGGATTCTACAAACACAGATGAACTTTCATTCGAAGCAAAATAACAATTTGAAATCCCTGTTTTTTTCTTTTTTCTCCAGGAGGCACCGAGACGAGGAGGGAGAGAAGGACTCGTCGGAGCACCGCAGCTCCCGACACAAGCGCAGCAAACACTCCAAACGCTCCAAGGACAGAGACACCTCCAAAACTGAGGAGTCTACGGAGGGGGAGGCGCCACCTGCCGCAGAGGGGGGGGCAGGGGCGGAGGAACCCATGGAATCCTAGGAGATACCACTGTCAGGGCTTGAAATAGTTTTTCTGCATACCTTCACTGGCGCAGGCAACATTCAAAATTACCTGCACAACTCAGCATTCAAGTACCCAGTATGGATCATACTAACACTGTTCAGAAACCACTGCCATTATTTCTTTTATACTCCAAAGATGGTAACAGTCAATACAGCAAATAACATATCCACCATACATCATAAACACCAGTACAGCTCCAGTTTTACCTACACCATCCTGTACATGCAGGTGGTATTTCGAGCCCTCAACAGCTTATTCTGTGTAATATACGAATCGTTTGTCTCAATAAAAACTTTGAATTTCAACATGCTAAATTCAAATCAAGAAGTGTACTCGTAAAACTATATCCAACTAATGACTATTTCTGTCAAGTTACATACTAGTAGTACAATGTATATCAACACAAGTATTGAAAGAATGATTGTCTAATACTTAGAAAAAAATTGATGGAGAGAATGGTACTAGTATGTAATAGAAAGACAAAATAGAAAACATTGTGTCCCTAAGACTTTTTGTACCTGTATGAACATGTACATTGTACCATCATGGTGTTTGCAGTATCGGTAACATCAGAAAGAAGTTGAACTGGTTGGCTTACTGAGCAAGTTTTGGGAAGTTGTTGTACAGACCTCAGTAATAGTTTACAAGACTTAACAGGATAGAAAGTCAGTCTTGTGATGTGAGCTGATATAGACATCCCAATATTAAAAACCTGTATTTGTATCTACTTGTAGTATTCATTTAATACCCCACACATACATATAGGAGATCAAAAGGTCAGACACAGGAAATGGGTCTTTATCATGTATCAGGTATTTAATGGATAGCCAGGACGCCAGCTGGCATCCAGGCTATTGTTTTTTGCCTATTGTTTTCTGGAGTCTGTGCCTCTCGGTGTTGTATCTTCAGTGGTCTCACCATGTTCAACAATAGAGTGTACTAAAGCTAAAAAAGCTTGCATCCAGGCTATAATTTCTGTATGGAATCTGCGATCTTCAATGTGTCCCACCATGTTAAAGCAACATAGAGGGCATACTAAAGTTAAAAAGGCTGGCATCCGGGCTATTGATCTATGGAGCTGTGGTAGCTGTACATTGAGTAATTGTCTTTTATGAACTTGTGTCCTTTTGTGGAATACTGTCACTTAATTGTCATAGGTAGATAGCTAAAGGCTATGAAGTCTTCAGTGTGGTATTTTCAGTGTAGTATCTTCAGTATCCTCAGTGAGGAATCTTGAGCGGCCCGACCAGTAAGTCAGCCTCCTCACTCCTCATGGCGAGCCACGCCTCCTTCAGGACCAGCAGGGCGTGTTCCTCCACGGCTGAGAAGGTGTCCTGGCCGTGTGCCTCTGCCGACAGGCTGCACCCAACCTCGTGGGAGGTGTCTACTGGACAGAGGATAGACCGGGACGCTCCAGCCACGATGTAACTGTACAAACAAAATTCAGAGATGTGATGGCCTGGTTACCAAAACTGTTTCAGCTGACAAGTCTCTTTTGTCCTAATAATAAAATAGGTTCAGCAACCAGGCTAAAATTTCACTCTTCAGCAAAGTACATGTATTTTGAGTTTTTGTGACATCCAAGATCATCCAATGTGCTGCATTTGAGGGTTTCACCTCCTAGCTGCCATTCTGCCTGTCAATCTTGCCACAACCCAAGTGCTGTCAACCTACTCTGGATGAATAGACACACAAACCAACAGCTCAGCCACGCACCCAAAACAGTACACTTGTACCAAAACACAAAACTAGCAGCGTTTGGACATAGTGAGGTTGTTTGGATCCGCAAAACATTACATGGGGAAAAGCCTTGCTCCTACCGCGAGTACAGCCTCCTGGCCTTGCGCTGGATGTTGTAGTCCTGACGAGGTTCTGTGTTGAACAGACGTCGGTACTCCTGCAGGTCCCGCCAGAAATCCACAGCGTTCACCCAGATCTGGGGAGGCAGTTTAAAATAGTGGTTGGAAATCGAGTGACAACTTAAACATTGACACTAAAGACATTAAGGCATTACGTTGTATGTGGAAAAGTTGAACTTCTTTTTCAACTTAAAAGACGGGACTCGCCGGAATTTTCTTCTGACTCAATAAGTCTTCTTTTTCTGCACCGATCACTCAGAACACATGATCATGAATTGATGCATGGGAATCAAGTCATTTGTGGTAGAGTTTCACTGGAATGATGGAGCTATAGACTCGGCTGTGATTTATTTTCTAACCGGTTTATAGGGGATAGAAACTAAAGGAAAAACTTGGTAGTTTTCTTGAGCTACCTTGTTGCCAGACGCTTCGCAGAACTCCTCAAAGAAGTTCCCAGCTCGTTTGTCGTGAACTAGAGTCTGTTCGACTTGCGTCGCTTCCGGTTGTTGGGTGTCGACACTCAGCACTTCATGTGACGTGTGGGGACGGTTAAGGGCCTTCTCCCGGGATTTACCTTTTCCTTTCCCCTCGTGTTCGCATTTTCTACTGGGTGTTGCTGTAAATCAAGAAATCAGAGACTTAAAGACTTAGAGCTTTAGCGAATTAGATATGGTACATCGTAGAATGGATTATAACGATTGATGTAATTTACTATGCTATTACACAGTACACATTCCTGATGACTATGATATATGGAATACCGGGTCACAACCCTGTCAATCATTAATCATCATCAATCATCCTCCGAGGAGGTGTAGCATACAAAGTTACATCTCCAGAACTTTCTGTCCTTCATCGCAGAGATAAGTTCCAGGTCCTGTAAGCCTGTTTCAGTTTCTATAAGTTTCTTAAGTGTTACGTTTGGCCGACCAACTCTTCTTTTTGTATCAGGGTTCCAGAGTAGAAGCCTACTGGCTGGTTCTTCACTGCGTACAACATGACCGGCCAAGCTTAGTCGTCGACTGTCAATCAACTTCACCCCAATCTCTGCCCACCCAATTCAATACGCTTGTATGACTTACACTGGCTCTCGCCAGCCATTGGTCATTTAGCTAATTATGCTAATGACATAAGTCACAGTCGTTACATACCCCTTCCTGCAGTACTGCTTGGAGCCGTCGGGGGGCGTGTAGCAGAGAGACAAAAAGACTGCATGTCACTTTCCGCGCCTGGGCTGCTTTTCGGCCGTCTAGATGCAGAAGCCGATTTTCGTGGCCGCACTTTCGTCACCGGAAACCGTCTCTCCATGTCCCTCTTCATCCTGAGTTCTTCCTGTTTCCTCTTTGCTTCGTCGTTTTTGTCTTTCTTGTTTTTCGCCTGGGATGATTTTGTGTGAGCGATGTTTGATTCTGATTGGAGCTGGTCGACCTGAGGGGTGCTGGGGTGTTTTTGTGCAGCCAACCGTGCGCTCCTGGACCTGCTGACGCTTTTCTTTCTGTTGTACTCCGTCCAGCATCTACGTGTAATTACATCAAAGGTGGTGAGAGGGACTTAGGGTCCATGGAGGGACAAAACCTCCACAGACCCTATACAAATTACCTCTATGAAGTCTACACAGAGACTATACTAAGCACTGAGGTCGAAGTAACTGTACTTTTAGGCCTTCGTACAAATGTAGGGTGTACATGTATGTTGGCCACGCATTCATCTCTCAAAACTCGTATTTTCCAAGAACTATCGTAGAGTGGACCTCGTTGCCACTATGCAAACTCAGTTGGGGCAACATCACTAGAAAGCTTGAAACAACTCCTGCAATCAAATGTGTAGAGATTGGGTGTAACAAGCTAGCTATCACCACGCCGCGTGCCTGTGAAGCTGGTGTGTTACGTCGAAGGGCGCCTTACCGGCTATTTAGATACAGATACAGATCTCTGCCTGTTGTACTTACGTGGCCCGGGCACCCCCGTAGATCCGTCTGGCTGCATCTGTGGAGGACCGGAGACGGGGGATACAGGACTGGGGTCGGGACGTCACATCCTCTGCGGCAAAGCCGAGAGATGTCGCTGGGGAATATTACAGTTTGTGAGCAAGGTTTGTGAGTGTCAGGTGCAATGGCCAAGTGGGTAGAGTTTTCACCTTGTATTTGATAGATCATGAGTTTGATCCGAGGCTGAGTCATGGGAGTTGAACACATACTACATCCAACATTGGCACTGCCCTATGCAGTATGTTGTGTAGGATTTCAAGATTTTACCTTTTTAAAAACATGAACGACAAGGGTAACAACACATACAGAGGGCACACAAAGATCAAGGAGCTTTCATCACAGTGATGAAAGCTCCTTGCAAAGATCAACGACTATTAGGATGAATAGATTATTGACCAATCACTTCCAAATAGACTATTATCATTGTAGTGTGAACCTACCTGATGTGGGTCTGCCTGATGAGTCCAGAGAAACATCGCTGCCCTCGTAGCTGATGAGAGACGACCCCAGGTCCCGGGTGCGGAGGAAGCGGGGTAACCAGGAAACATACACACTAACACAGTAAGCCACCCAAAGCAATACTTCCATACCTGATGTGGGACGTCCAGAGGAGTCCAGAGAAACATTGCTGCCCTCGTAGCTGATGAGAGGCGACCCCAGGTCCCTGGTGCGGAGGAAGTGTGGTAACCAGGAAACATACAAACTAAACAGTAAGCCACCCAAAACAATACTTCCATACAAGTCATGTAGCCATCATAACATCCCTACCTGATGTGGGTCGCCCTGATGAGTCCAGAGAAACATCGCTGCCCTCGTAGCTGATGAGAGGCAACCCGTGGTCCCTCCTTGTAACCATTGCCACTCAGACTCAAAACATACAAACTAACACCAGTAAGCCACCCAAAACAATACTTCTGTACCCTGAAGTTGAACCTACCCGAAGTGGGTCTTCCTGATGAGTCCAGAGAAACATCGCTGCCCTCGTAGCTGATGAGAGGCGACCCCAGGTCCCTGGTGCGGAGGAAGTGTGGTAACCAGGAAACATACACTAACTAAACAGTAAGCCACCCAAAACAATACTTCCATACATGTAGCCATCATAACATCCCTACCTGACGTGGGTCGCCCTGATGAATCTAGAGACACATCGCTGCCCTCGTAGCTGATGAGAGGTGACCCCTGGTCCCTCCGAATCCATGCAACCTTTGCCATTCAGACAGGAAACATACAAACTGACACCAGCAAGCCACCCAAAACAATACTTCCGTACCTGATGTTGGTCTGCCTGATGAGTCCAGAGAAACGTCGCTGCCCTCGTAGCTGATGAGCGGCGATCCGTGGTCCCGGGTGCGGAGGAAGCGCGGTAACCAGTACTGCAGCAGCGGCTGGACCAGCAGGCTCTGCGCCTCCTGCAGACGGTCAGGCCGCCAGTCACGGATCCTGGCAAACAAGTAATAATGTTGGGCTACATTTAAAGCACTATACTTTTTAATTTTGGGTAGATAGGTCCAATTTGTGAACACTACATTTGTATTACTGTAACAATATCTGCTACATTTGCTTCTGCCTTCATGCAGAGGTACAACTGTCACAGATGGAACTCAGGCAAACTTTCTGGTACAGTATTGTTTTATATATAAGTAATATTTTGGGTGGCTGAATTCTGGGTTTGTCTCTCTGCCTGTCATAATTGCTTTGCTTGCATGGTAGGTGGGAGGTGATTGTGACAGATGATTGACAGGGAGGTCAAGTCTGAAAGTGGCCTATCGATATAAGTACATTCGACTAGTTAAAAGGAGATGTGCTGCATACGACAATGTACGAGTGTGAGTCAGACCATGGTCAGACCCACCTCTGCAATCCCAGTTTCTGCTCCA